TCTGGGCAACCTGTCCCAGTGCTCCCCACCCTCTCTAGGAAGAATTCCTTCCTGATATCCAATATAAACCTCCCCACTTTCTGTTTAAACTTGTCACCCCTTGTCCTGTCACTCCCTGCCCTTATAGGAAGTCCCCCCCAGCTTCCTTGTATCCCCCTTCAGGCACTGGAAGGGGCTCTGAGGTCTCCTCAAAGCCTTCCCTTCTCCAGGCTGATTCCCCAAACTCTCTCAGCCTGTCCCCATGGCAGAGGGGCTCCAGCCCTCAGAGCATCTCTGTGGCCTCCTCTGGACTCATTTCCTGCACTACAGGATTTCAGATGTTGTTATTCAAGTCCTTTCACTCAGAAAAGACATGAGGAAAGATCACATATATACAAATATTAATCTTTGACTTTCAGATACCCTGTGTTCTTTGAAGAGAATGGCCACATCACCACACAGTCTAATAAAGAAACGCCACCATGTTTAGCACCACAAAATTCAGGGGAATAAGTAAGGACGGTAAGAACTATGACTGTTCTGAGTAATGGACCACATCTGTTTGCGCTCACGAGTGCAGCAATTCCTCTTTTGCATGGAAGGCTGCAACCCTGCAAAGGCCACAGCTATTTGATACGGGCCCAGCTGACGTGTCTGTACGTCACTAGGCTCAGGGTGAGAATAAAGTCGGATTTCAACCCATTCCTGACTCCTGCTATCTGTGAAGTAATGTCTGGCACGGAGGAAAGCCTTTTAGCCTCTCCTCTTTTCCATAGCTCTGCTACTCAAGCCAGGAGTTGGCCATCTCTTTCCCCACTGGAAAGAGGGGTGGGGAGGTGAGCAAGCGGCTGTGTGGTACTTAATTGCTGGCTGGGATTAAACCACAACAGGAGTTCTACACCTTACACTTTCACATTACACAATTCTTCTTAGTTTAGCTGAACTTCAAGTTTTGGCAAAAGACAGTAGTGTTTTAGACATGGCTTATCTCAAGAGTGGAAATAGTTCCTTTCCAAAGGACTAACTAACTAAAAGGAAATAGTTCCTTTCCAAACCTGACTGGACTTTCATAAACTTTAGTAAAAGTTCACTTCTAGCATCTTCATTTATAAAACTGAAACAAGGTTTCTAGGGTGCCCACCTTGCAAGGGATTAGGAGGTGCTCCAGAGGGCTGTTGAGACTGAAAGTACTTCAATACTCTTCAGTCCTCTTGCCCATCTAGGTACTGCTTGGAGGCTCAGACCATCAGAGAAGTTGAGGTGACTCTTGTTATCAACAGGGATTAAGTGGGACAGGAGTAACCCAGGGGACCAGGGAGTGCTAGGTCCCTAATGCTCCGAGGGTATCAGCAGTAACCGTGGATCTTGACTGAACTGCTCCCTGTGCATGTGGTTCAGCGAGGGTGTGGGTATGTCCCATACACAGATCCACAGATCCACAGATATCCCACTCACCTGTCTGCAAGGTACAGGGCAGCTGCACTTAATTTTCACTGGTATCCCTTGTGAGACAATGAAGGTTTCAGAATCACAGATGCTCTCCTTGTCTTACTCTCAGAGAGACCAAGAGTCAGAGAGCAAAAGACAGCATCTGCCTAAGGATCCTCTCATGACAGGAGTTTCAAGACCTTCCCCACATACCCTGAGGAGTATAGTCCTCAGGGTGTATATACCCCACATCCTCATCTGGAGCCAGCAGGACACGAGAACTTCAGAACTCAGCAGCCACTCTTCAAAGACAGTCTGCTCCTTCGAGCTCACTGCTTTAAACGTGGAGAATTCCTCATGCCTTCCATCAGGAGAGCCTGCTTAACAACACAGCACAACCGCATGTTATACAGCTCTCTGACCATTCACATTAAACCAGGAAGAACTCACCTGCCTAGAAACTAACCACACTACTCCTGGTAGAAGCGCGCAATCCACAAGGATCAAGCAGAGCGTGAAGGGAAAGTACAGAAATGCTGCTGCCAGTGGGGGAGATCAAAGCAGCCCTGGAAAGCACTGGACTGGTAACTATAGGCGAGCTGCTAGGAACTGGGGATGCATGGCTCCTGCTGGCCACCTGACCGCTGCAGGGCTCTACGGAGAATCCCCAGGGACCCCCATGCTGCAGCCGTGTCAAACACTGGGTGGTGGTACAGGAGAAAAGGGAATTCTTCCCCTGGGAAAGAGGCATTTATGTTTTTATGCATAACCGCTTGTGTATCAAGCCCAAGGAGACAGTGTGCCCGGACTGCGAGCAAACACTCGCACTGTTGCACAGTTCTGCTTTGTCCTTACTGCTTGTTCAAATTCAAAGCTCCACCTACTGCAATTCTGAAGATATCCCAGAGTTTGCACTCCAAGCCCAGCAGCAACAGCCACACCTTTAATCAGGCAGTAAGGTGGCTTTTGCTCCTTGACTTGGACTTCATCACAGTAACACGGGATTTTCTGGCAATGCTGACTATGACTGATGCTAGGAAGCAAAATCCAACTCAAGTAAGTGAGCAAACCAATCATTTCCACCTGTGACCAACAGTCCTCCACCATTTGCATCATCGCTTTTCCCCTTCTTCCAGCAGTGCTGCATTATCAACAAGCTAATTAATTGAAGAACAAAATGAAGATGGCATCTGCTGTACATAAAGCAGTCTCAGCATGCTCTGCCTCTCCAGGGGCACCGAAAGAAAATTCTCCCACGAAACACGTGAGAGTGTAACAGTACTGTAAAAACTGTAGTGGTGCATGTGACAGAGAACTCAAACAATAAACCTGGCAGCTGTTACAGGATTTCTTTTATGAAGCTATTTTCTGCATCTTCCTGACTGAGCTGAGTCATCCAAGTAAGTAGTTACCTTCTTACTCTTCCTTTCCTAGCAAACAACAGCAGCAAACCAAACAGAAAGCATTAAAAAGCCCCTAATCAGCCTGATCTAGCCAGCTGACTAACAGCGCTGTAATAAACTAACAGGAGCCAAAGGCATACCAAAAAAAAAATACTTCCAGATTTTCTTTAGGCACTTGTTTCAAGGAAGAGCACAACTGCCGCTGCTTTTTTGATGTGGAAGCAGGAGAACACCATGTAAATATTTTGGTACTTATTTAACAAAACACCTTTTCTTGTGGAAATACCCCCCGCCCCATACATTGTGGGAAGAAAGCAGAGACTGTGTATATGAAATTACATGCTTACTAGGGATGCTAATGATCTGCAGACTTAATTTCTCAGAAGTCTGGAAATGCTACATAGTTCTAATTGCACCCATTCGGCGTTCCTCCCGTAAGTCAAACCTATGCCCTGAGCGAGGCAGAGGTCCTACACAACTCCGTTTATTGAGATCCTGTCACTAATGCCGCAGTGTGCATGCCCGAGGGGAGCTGATTACAATTGCTGCCAACAGCCTTCCGGTCAGTCCTGTCTCTTCTCCCATTCGCTATTCCTTCTTCCTGCTTCACACCAGAAAGGAGAATAACGATGTGCTCCCCACTGAGAACTAGAGCCCAGAGACCAAGAGGTACCTGGACACCCAGAAGACGCTGGTTTTAGTGTCAGCTTGATTAAATCCTTCCCACTCTTCCCGATGCAGCGCCTGGCATGGGTCAATCACTATAGAGAAGCCAGGGTACCTTTCATGAAAAATAACCGATTGTTCCTGCAGCTTTAACCAGTACCTTCCTTTCAGGACTGCTAACACAGTTTGTTTGCCAGACTCTGATCTTTCATTATAAGTTTTTTCAGAAAAATGGCATCTTTTCAGACTTTGGTGGACGATTAATCTGTTTCATCCCATAAAGATATCTTCCTGTCAGCAGCATTGTTTTTATAATGATTTATGATATACAACACAATCACTCTTACAGATGACACACCCCTGTGAAAGGCAAAAAATGCATCAGGGAAAAAGACATCACAGAAATCAAATTGTCAAATGAAACAGGATATTATGACTTGCCAGTTTTCTGAATTAAAGGGCAAGCAAGTAATGATTTTTTAATTATCACATGTTGTTTTTCACACTGAAACATTTTCACGTGCTTTTCTGAGAAGCTTCTTGCTTTCCTGACGCCACAAAACAAGTCCCCACAAGTTCCCATTCTTCTACATCCCAACGAAAACTTACCCAAATGAAACACTGCTCATGTATGTGCTGTGCCATTACTGACGGTGACCACCCGAATAAACTCTGCATGAAGACGCCGATCACAGAATGGGTCAGAGGTGACCTCTGGAGGTCATCTGGTTCACCCCCTGCTCACACAGCACCACCCAGAGCTGGTTGCCCAGCACCATGTCCAGGTGGCTTTTGAGTATCTCCAGGCAGGGAGACTTTACTACCTCTCTGGGCAACTGTGCCAGCGCTCAGCCACCCTCACAGTGAAAAAAGTGTTTCCTGATGTTCAGAGGGAACCTCCTGTGTTTCAGTGTTCCTATTGACTCTTCTGTCACAGGGCACCACTGGAAATAGCCTGGCTTCATCTTTTTTGCACCCTCCTTTCAGGTATTTATATAGATTGAGGAAATCCCCATTGAGTCTTCTGCAGGCCGAGCAGTCTCAGATGTCTCAGCCTTTCCCCATAGGAGAGATGCTCCGGTTCCTTCAGCATCTTCACGGTCCTCCTCCGGACTCTCTCAAATACATCCATGTCCCTCTGGCACTGGGGAGCCCAGCACTGCATACAATACTCCAGGTGTGGCCTCACCAGTGCTGAGCAGAGGGGATACTAACCTCTCAGCTGCAATGTAAATGATCCTGTCCTTTCACACATCCCCACTTCAGATAAATATACCGATTCATTCTATAGCCTTTCCCTCCCCCCTCCACCCCACCCGCCCCGAAAGGGTCATGTTCTTAAAATCCAGACTTAACCAAGCTGATTATTTCCTTTCCAGCTCAGATGTTCTGATGCAGACTGGCAAGTGCTGGGAAATCTACAGCTGTGGGAAGAGATTAGGTAGCTTCAAAATGAATTGTTAATTTTGATGATGACATTTTGGATGAAGGATGATCTCAGATTCCATATCTAGGCTCATTTCCCGACTCTGTTAATGTCTTTCTGCCTGACCTCTGCACGACTGAGCTTCTCCATACTTCCACCCCTCATCCGCAGCAGATAACAACTCTGCAGTCATTCCAACTGTTTCTTGTTTAAAACTGTGGGCTCTCTGGGCCAGAGGCTACTTCTTACCAGGCATGCAACTCACAGCTTAGCACGGCTGGGCTCCCCCCACCTACCTAGGAGTCTGCTAGATGATCGTGCTGGTACTTTACTCACAATCATCCAGCCTGTGTACCCAAGCATGATTAATATCTTTCCTACATAAATCAGTATCAATACTAAAACTACTCATTTCCAAGTAGTACGGCAGAGTAAGGATGATTGTAATTTAATCCGTATAAATGAACTGATCTGCCTAAATAATTCCAGACTTGAAAAAAAGGAAGAAAAAAAAGACCACTGTCAGCAATACAGGCGCTCTCCACCGGTAAGTCAGCTCCAGTATAACAGGAAGCAGTTTATATGGGGCTTGCTCCTGCAGGGTACTTACTCATTTAGATACACTGCACTTCAAACGTGCTCTCTTACAAGAAAAAGCGTTTCAGTTACACACGCAAAACAAATCAGTAAATCAAAACTTGAACAGCACTGCAGAGAACAAACCTAGCTATAGGTGTTCAGTTGGCAGTGAAATACTGCCAGCAGCCCCACAAAAGCACAAAGCAGCTGCACAAACCATTCCAAACCCTTAAAACCGGGCAGAAGAGCCACATATGACTTCCAGATATAGTACACCTGCAAGTACTACTAATAAATTTACCTCTTAAAATGTGCAACTATATTTTTAAAATATTTGGCGCAGTTGGTGATCTTTAAATGGTAGCTTGCCCCCTGCGTTTGCTTGAATTTTTCTAACCATCAGATAATCAAGGAGGGGAGGACAGACTTACGTACAGAGACTTGGAAAAAAAATTACTTCCTTATGATTCTTAGCAAATAAAAAATGTTAGCATCCATCCTTGTTTTAACACAACCTCCTCTCTTTTCCCACCCTGTTGCATTTGATCTCTCTTCTGTAGAACCTCACTGTTCCTGCAGACATTTTCCTGCCTGGCTCCTACTATGCTTTCCTGCACCTCTCCATCTCATTTCAGATCCTTCTTAAAACTGAAGAGCGGCCTGTGCTTTTATCCATGTTCCTCCCCCACACCTGAGAACAGGAGACCTCTTCTCTTCAGAAGACTCTCCCCCAGGAGCTATGCCTCAGTTTATTTGAGGTTTTTATTCAGAGCCTGGTGCTTCTTCAATGTCTGTTAGAGCCGAACTTCTTGTCATCGCACTCCAATTTCCACCTCGTACGACTGTCACTTCTTCCGGTAAGAACTGAGGCTATCACCTCGTGCCACAAAAACTTAAATTAACATGTTATTATTCAGTTTAACCCCACTGGTCCCCTTTTTTCTCCCCCAGAACTAAGAACACAATGAAACCCAAATGCGACTCACCTGTCAATGAACTGGTCAATTATGACAAGATCACCAGGCTGTATTTCCTCTCGTAAGGAACCACAGGCAGTAGTCACTAACACGTGTGAACAGTTCTCCTCTTTCAGTGCCCAGATATTGGCACGGTAATTGACATTCGATGGCATAACTGTGTGATGCCTTCCATGTCTGAAAAGATACATGTTGCAAGAGAGTAAAATAAATCACACCGAAATTGCCCTCCTTCTCCCAGAAAAAGAGAATTCCAGGAAATGTGATTTCCCTAACAACACTGGAAGTGGAACTGATCATTTCAGTTACTTCCAGTGTAGCTTGTTTTCCTAACGGCATTAAGGTTCTATCAGTATTTGATTTAAGAAGTAGCGGTGTGGCTTTCTTTTCAAATGTAAAATTTTAAAGTTCAAGACTGTAATGAAAAGAATCTTGAAAATACAACCCAAATGTGATTTAGCAGCTTCAGAGTACCCAAAGCATTTTTCTCCGAATTTTGTAAGTAGAATCTGAAAACCGGGTGCAGCAAATTAAATCTTCTAGATGCTACAATAAATTTGAAAGATTTATATACACCTCTACAAATTTTCTGCTCAGAAGTGCCGCTTGTATTCTCCCACCCAGAAAAGAGCAGCACATCACAGGAAATTAAAACCAGAAAGAATACACTGTTTTAATCTGTCACCTTCCCTAAGAAAACAGTAGATTCATCACATTTATCTTTGCTCTTAAAATGATCTGACAGCTTTCATAAACTAGAATAATGATTTCACACAGTTGCAACATATTTTTTTCACCAAGACAGGAAATACTTCATCTCATAAGCACAAGTTTTCATGTTATCTCTGTCATCACTGCAGGGGTACATTCAATCACACACATTCGAAAATCACTTTCAATCATGTAAGAGGAAAGGAGGAACTTAATTTCCCAATTCATTCTTTCACAGAGAGCAAAGGGTCTTCTGAACCTGATCAACTGGGAACTGGGAGTTGCATACAACGTGACTAAGCACTGTCAGGCAGGACTGCCATGACGACATCAGCATTTCTGATAAGCTACTAGGCACGTAGATTTATTGTTTAATGTTGCAGTTGTTGTCATAATCCTCTTCTAGAATATACATGTGTCTTTTTAAAATCTCATTCATGACCAACTTTGTTATTTTTCCCAAAACACAAAGTGAAGCTGCAGTCCCAGAAGTAAACTCATGAGGGTTGTATGTGAATGGTCATAAATCCCAGTGAGGATGTAAACCACAGCTGAGCTCTTCAGCCATCTGTAACCCAAGGCCTTTGATACAGCAAAGCTGTGAGATCTTGGTTTAGCATTTCATTTGAGAAAATGAGAAAGATGTTGTCCAGGTGTAATCAAATACATGAGCAAAGCCCACAAAAGATTAAGTGTAGTTGCAGAGATGGTAACAGGCAGCAGCTTAACAGAAAAATATAGGAATAAAAAGAATCAGGGGCCCGGAGGGCACCACTGGGTCATAATTTCCCTGGCCAGCCTCATCCTGGGCCTCCACCTTAACAGCGGTGCCTGTGAGCCTAGGTGCTCTTGCCTCCAAGCTCAGGCACAGCCTTCACTGCCAGCCTGAGCTATGCCACAGGTGTGTGTGTCCCCAGCCCTGTCTCCTGGATGGCCTTCAGCCCTATGTGCCAGTTTGTCTCCAGACCTGGTTTCTGGAGAGACTGTGAACACACGCTGTGAACACAGAGTCTCTGGAGAGACTGTGAACACATGCTGCTGCCTTGCCTCCAACTCAGTCTCTGGCCGCATCTCCTACTGCTCCTTCCTGGAATCCCTGGATGGATCCTGGACTTGATTCATCACCCTGACTTACCTGGGACTGCCGATGGTCCCCGTTATCAGTATCTGGCTCTGCCTGTATTGTCCAGATGCTGAGAACTGTGTTAGTATTCTTCTCTAGCACATTGGTCCTAAATATCCATGGCTACATTTGTGTGAAATTTCTATGCACTCATCTGCAGATCCTGCTTCCAGAGTCTCTTCTGAGTATGGCAAGAGATGTCTGAATAAAAATGACCCAGGGAGAGAGAACTAAATGGGATGCAGCCTCCTAAGCAATAAAGGTAACAGCCAGAGGACTCAATAATCAAAGGGAATGATTTGGAAGAGTCTACAGTGGTACCAGAGATACAGTTCATCTGGAAACAGGCTACTGCCCAGTTTCACACAGAAACTCTGCAAACGCAGGGAGCAGATGGATTACTGAGGTTATCAGTCACCCCTTACCTACCACAAAAGCAGGCAGACTTGCAGTTTGTCGTTCTCACTAGAGCAGCACCCCGTGATGGATTTCTCTTTCCTGACCTAGGTGGTATTTTTAGTACCCTCAGTTCCTGCAGCATCAAATTTGTACAGGAAAAAGCCCACACTTCTGCTGGAGGTTGCTAGCAACCACACTTAGCAACATGAAATCAGAGAAAAAAATTCAGTTCATCTGTGTAAAAAGAAAAAACTTTTGAGAAAACTTTAAGACACATAAAACCCTTTAAAATGCTCATTTACCTTGCCAACAGCACACAGTCCACATTTTTTATCTTTCCCAATATCAAAGCATCCGATGGCTGCAAAACAAGCAAATGAGAATGAGTTAGAGGCTGACAACCACACTGGAAACCTTAGCTGCTACTTAAAAATAAGCAGGATAGTTATGAAAGGAAAGACTGGTTACCACTGTATCTTCTTCAGCTCAGCTCTGTAATGTGGTAGGGCAGGTTAGTAAAACGGTCTGCATCAGGACGATCAAACTTGACACCAGAAGGATTATCACAATTTTCCTGTGGTCACACTAGCATTAATATTGCAACCCCTTACTTTAGGGTTTGAAACAGTAACACACTGAAACAGTATTTCAAACAGTACTACATAAACATCAAAAAACAAAGGATGTACATGTCGCCTTTAAACCAGTTAGCATGTGTCGCTCCTGTAAACTTCAGCTGCTTTTTGCTCAACAGGTGCCACTCCCTACCAGAAGCCCCATCCCAACAGAATTCCTATTTAATCAGTCCCTTTCTGTAACACTCCCTATTCTCATCTCTGTTGCCTTTCTACCATGGCCCCCTAGATCACACTAGAGGTGTGAGGAGTTCCAGACTCCGCCAACCCACCCTTCAATCCCCACCCAGCTTCTTGATAACCCCTCTTCCATGCTGCTGGGATACCTGTTTTGGGGAAGTACACTGTGACAGGACAGAGAACTTCCGGTATACTAGCGGCAGAAGCAGTGTTGTATTTTGTCAGCCCAAGGACCAGGAGACAGCACGAGCTCTCCTCTTGCAGCTATGCAGTGAGAACATGCATTCCTCCTGACTAAGCAGCCAGCCAGGAAGCAAAAGCACTTAGTGTTCAGCTGCCCAGCTGGGACACATGCCCTGCCTTGGAGATGGTCGTACTGCCCACAGGTAGGGCAGCCCCCAAGTCAGCAACTGCCACTACAACGAATTACCTGCTGTGTCCTGTTCCAGGGCTGTATGCATCAGGGATGTGAAATACACAATGCTTCTAGCTTCCCTTTTTGTTAAGATAATCTAAGACCTCTGTTTAATTAGATGCTAAACTGCCTTTGTGCGGAACAGAAGTGCAGTTGGATATGCTTCTCCTGCCCAATGGAGGTCATGGTTTTTTAATAAAAGGAATGCTCCAGAAAACTAATTTTTAGATCTGTAGTGTATTCTGACCTTTTTTAAAAAGTCCTCATTTAATATTAATCTACTGACACTTAAATGTTAAATGTGTTTACCCCACTTTACATACACTCTCCTGAACCAGACACGGCTTTAAGAGTGAGATTTCACGCAGAGCAAAAGCCTTGCTGTCCAGCTGCCGAGGCGTTTTGGTGCTGCAACATTCCATAACAGTGCAGGTTCACAACAGTTTGGGGTTTTGTTTTTTGGGTTTGTTTTGATTAGAGAGCACACATTTGCTGTGTGAAGTAATAAGCATGCAACTTAGCTCACAGCAGGACACAAAAATACTCTTAAAAACGAAAGTGGACTTCAGCCAAAACTCCTTCCCTCCTATCAAAATGAAAAGATCAGTAACTTGAAGACTGGGCCCTTTGCTTTGCAAGTGACAGATCCAAGTTTATTGCAAGTGATAGATTCACGTTTGTATGAGTTTTGAAAAGACTTGGGGTAGAAAGGTGCAATTTAACGGCTATTGGATATTCATCCCCACCACAGAACCCCTGTGGTGTAGGCCAGAAATTCTGGCACGTGCTGCTGACGCAGCAAGAATGCAACAGCTCTGAAATCCAGCAGGCTTCAGAATCTAGTTGGAGCAACAAGGGTTTCCTTTCCTATCTGCTGCCGTCCTAGTCACGTCAAAAGGTTTCAGGGTGACCATGTAACAGAGGCGGTTGCCATCTTTACACAGATTTCCACAGGACGCATTCAGGCCATCTTCCAGGTGACTGCCTGACTGCTAGAAACTCCGCAGAGAAAAAAAAAAGGGAACACAGAATGCGCTGCTAAATGATGAACTGACAGTTTAAGAAAAGACTTCGCAGATACTGCACCCTGGGTCCTTAAGAGAGCGGTAATAAGGACAAATCTGCACATGTAAAGTTACAAGGAAGTGAAAGATACAGCAATTTCAAGCGATGTGTTAGCCACCTAACAGAGCTAGTGTGCGCTTCAGTTCCACTCTGTGCCTCCCACAAGTTCTTTCCAGTGCTGTAATCTCTACTGTTTCCTCAGTTGCAGTCAGGAGCTTTGAAGTACTGATAAAATAATAAAAAATTCCACTGGAACAATCCAAGTTTAAAGATCTAATGCAGTATTTTTAAAGCAGGATTTTAAAAAAGGCCATATTAAAAGTTCTCCAACATTAATAATCCATATCCATATTTAGCTGCTTCCCTCTTCCACAAAATCCAAGTCAGATATATATTACTCAGTGTTGCAAAACAGAAGAGGAAGCAAAGAACCCTGGGCAGTTAACACCAAATTATGACAGTTAACAAAAGGTTGAAATAAATCCCCTTTGTCTGAAACACGAACATGCATAAAGTATTGTTCATGTGGTGCTTAGAGAATTCACTTTTTCCTCAGTCTCACCTCAGAAGCAAGCTGGAACAGAAAATAGAATGAACAAGCAAGATAAGAATCTAAGGAAATACTGAGATGAAAAAGCATCTCATAGGTCCCTGAAGCCTTCATTTAACCTGTGATCTAGTTTAGGAACTACGTACATCATTCTTTTTAGGAACTATGTGCATAATTTTGGGGAGGCAGAAGAGAAGCTTAAGTGTTACATCACGTGGTCTGATCTTCCTGATGCAACAACACAAAGCTGATTTGCAAGGTGGAAATGCCCCCCCCACCCCCGCTTCGTCTGCCAGATATACCTATGACAAAAAAAGAGGGAGGCACCTAAGATAATTTTCTGGAACAGGAAGATATTTTGCTGACCGGGGGAAAGGTGATTCAGAACCAAGTTCTGTCATCCAGAAAGTAAAACAACTGAAAGATATGTTCTGAAGAAAGTCTTATTAGTAGCTTCAAAATTCAATGATGAAGATAAATGCTATTGCAAGCAATTTTCTTCTCCTATAAGAGAACAACAGTTTCCATATCTGGAGGTGGAATGCCAAAAGGTTTTAGGGTATTTTCTAGAGAATGCCAGATTTTTGATGCAATGAAAATGGTGGAAGCAGACAAGGGAGAAAAGAAGGCTGGAATATTAACAGCTGTAACCATGTGTATTTTATAAAAACGGAGGTGGTGCATTTTCACTACTATTACTAACGTAACTTGAAATATCATGGAGGATGAATGCCACTGTAGAGCAAAAACTCTCTCGCTGGTTTCCTTTAAACTTTTCCATGTTTCACCTGAGAAAAATATCCCCACATTCCATAATGATGTAAGTTTTAGTATGAAATTATTCTTATGGATCAAGAAGGCCAAAGCAAAAGACAATTGAAAGCCTCTATATGAACAAAATGTAAGCTATTATTCTGGTTCTAGAAGTAAAGAAACAGCATTAAAGAAACTTCTGTTTTGTTGCTGTCAAACGTCAAAGATGCCAAGGAATGTTGTCACCAGAAAGGTTTTCAGATAAAAGTCTTTTGGGTATATCCTTGCCAACAAACTTAAGATTTAAAAAGGAAAATTTACAGAAAGTAGAATTGTATACTTTGCATTTTTACAGGATAGAATAAAACAGACATACAGTTAACTATATCCTGCATTTTCCTTTTGGCTTTCAGACATTCACTGTCATTCTTCCTAGTTCTGCTTGAACTAAGTAGCCCTGATGTTGCATCTGTAATTTTCTCAGAAACTGAAAGATCAAAAAGTTCTCAGCAGTTTATTTAGGTTAAGCCCTTTACCTTTTAAAATTTCAGGCAGATTCTCTCTCCAGTGATGTCACAGCTTTATGAAAAAATATGCTTGTAGCAGAAAAAAAATCTTAATTTGGTTTTATTTCAGTAACTGTCAAGACACATCTTTAGGAAAAAAATACCACTAGCATAAACTACAGACCTCTAAACTTTTCCAAGCACACTTGAGAAGTTCTCATTTGCCTTTTGTGTTCAGCAATAGCTGCTTCTCTCATCTCTGCTGTTCTAAAACGAGAGAGGCAGGCTGTGTAACACCCCCTTCTTGAACGCTAAAAAGTCTCTGCAGCGAAATAAGCAAACGTTGATCCACCTAATGATTCCAATTAAATTTGTGAGGCTTGTTTCTGCTTCAATTGAAGTCCATCAGCTTGACCCACTCAATGCACCTTATGCCACTGTAACGTGTGGTCTCAGTCCTGCACATTTGACACTAAGGCTGATCTACCAGCTGCTCCACGAGGATGAAAGCTTCATTCAAACCCTGAAGTCAGTGCAGTTCTATGCAGGAGTGAATCTGCATGAAACAACCGCCAGACTGATGGCTGGAGTTCAGATCTACAGGCAGAGAGAAGAGAGACAGGCCAGCAGGGGCAAGGACAAAAGCTTGTTGTTTGGCTGTGCTTCCTTTCAGATACAGAAGCTCCATGAAGTTGCAGTTTTCCATCCAGGTCAGTTTAACCGTTCCAGTTCAGCTCACCACAATACCCAGAATCCATGCCTGTTTTCCTACCACGACATCTCAAGTTACACCTCTCCTCCAGTACACAGACAGCATGTTCACAAGCTTTTTCTTTAAGTTGCACCTATGCTAAATGCGTAATACATGAGCTCAGACACAGCCAGTCACTGGTAACCAAGATTTATTTTTCTCTATTCATAATGCATTCTGTGAAGAACACAGAAAAAAGACAGTCATCAAGCCGCTTGCTAAATGAAATCTAAACGGCCTTCCCTTCTGACCAAAGGTGAGGGATGGAGGAAGCTTCTTCCACTCCTGTGTGCAGAAGGCATCCTGCAGGTACTCCTACTCTCATCAGTAATACCAAACCCTGCTGTACGCCACCCACCACACTGCTGGGTCACCCAAATCCTGTGCTTCCCAGCTGCGACAGAGCAGCACTCCAAATGCTGTGCTGCCACTGTGCCTTTAACTCAGACATGAGCAGACGCTCGTGAGGGGGAAGAGTGTTTTCCCCTTCCTGGATATGAAGGCTTCAGTTAGTATCTGCTACAAGCACAGAGCTATTTTTGCTTTGTGAGCAGCCTCCAGACACAGCCATGCTGTGACCATCCACGACTCTCAAAAAATAGGGAATGCAATGGCAGCTGGTTTGCTTTAGCCTGTGGGTTCTACATCAGACCAATGCTGGCTATTGTTTGGAGAGCAGGATACCGAAAGTGGAGGAGGCAAGTAGCCCTCATTCTCTTGAAGTTTGTTAACAGATTTCTGAAGGACGGTGGAAAAATCAGATGTATTTTTCTGATGATGTTTTGTTCTCCCTTAACCTTTATCTCCTTTCCCTTCTTGAACGGTGTGCAAACTCCGCTAGCTCTTTACACTCTTACTTCCCCCTTAAACCATTCTGAATGGAGGCATAGATTCTGGTTTAATCACACACCACAACACCGAGCTTTCTGACAAGCTCTTGGCTCGGGCTCTTGCTACTACACACCAGATGTTTTACTGTACGTCTACCAGCTTACACTGAGATCATTCCGATGGCAATTATGAAGCACCCAAACTCCCCTGGTCTTATGAATTACACGGTATCTGAGATCTGGTTCTTCTATGAACTTCCTGTGTAAAGTAGAACCTCTCTCCCCTTGATTTCCTGCCTATAAAACTCTCATCCTTTCTCTTGCCTGTTCCTACTAGAAATGCTTTGGGGCAGGAACATCCCTTCACAACACGCTCGGCACTGTGTAGAGAGCAACACCCCTTTCTGCTAAGGAAAAGGGCTGGAGCAATGTGAAGGAGGGTTCATCAAGAATACCTGCGCCACAAAAGAGTTTCAGAGCTTCATTTTCAAATCAGTTTCAAATTATGTGGTTATAAGCATTGACTGTAAAGAGATCATTGATATGTAAAGCATAATTCAGTGGTTACATGGAAAATGGTGGCCCATATACCTCAAAGGGCAGTTTCCTGCACTTCAGAAAGGTTCCTGGAGCATTCTGACATATACCACATAATGGGGCAAAATTGAAAAAGAGGGTTTATCCCTTTTGGCTGCAAATTCAGGACTGAGTTTATAAATTGATCCAATCTACAAATGAGAAGAGGTATAGTCTCCTTCGCACATCATTATTCTAACACCTTGTTCCTACAAACTTACAAAAGGAAATACTCATGACAGTACCTCCTTTGTGCATTTATTTGACAGTCTGAAAGTTCTTAAAGCATACAAACATCTTTAAAACCAGCAAAAAGTAGCATAACAACAACAACAAGAAGTTATACAGACCTTGCCATAAGGAGTATCAACATATTTTTCGGTTCTTCCTTCTAAAATATCAGGATCATCCAGGCCAGTTCCACCAATAATTCCGATCTAACACAAAAAAGTACGCATTAGTCTTCTTGAGATTACACTCCATTTAACAGTATGTCTGAAAAATTAACTAGGCAGCTACAAAATGCATTTTTTGCTTGAGATGGAACCAGGCTGCAGATCAACAAAACATAATGTGCCCAGCACAGTTTCCCAGAAAGAAAATTTCAAGTGACTGATTTTAAACAACTGTATTTAACTTGCCGATTTCTTACAGTATGATTCTACTCCTTAAAGATACCAAACGTAAAAAGCTATGGAAAACACACAAAGATATGCCAATTCATCATTTATTCCCAAATCAAAAATGAAGGCTGGAATTTGTGAATGTCCCAATGAGTGAGAAATACTTGCATAAAGCGTATTATAACAAAGGCTTCTTGTTTACATGGGGAAAACCAGTCCTATACATGACCGCCATACTGAATACCAGGTGTCACTATATACTGTTAGACACACTGTCGTGGTTTAACTCC